TAAACATTCAGAATACATTATTTAAGTTTTAATTCCAGAAGAGCTAAAACTGCCTTTTTCCTTGTAACAGTTAACATTTTAACTGGGTAGAAGATAAAGTCAGCAAAACAAGACAGGAAACTTGAAAAAGACAAATAGAAAAAACCACGTAAACGTGCTTATATTTAACTTCACACAAGACGAACAGATGAGGAATCTAGTTTCTTTAAAGTAATTACTGAGATTCTAAATTATATCTATTTAGCTTACAGTGTTTGAATATGAACCCCAGACCAGCGTCCCTGTAAGGGAGGAAATCCAGGCTTATTTATGAAAAGTGTGCAAAGAAGCCTTTGTGCAGTTAGAAAATTGAAAGTAACTTTCCAGCCTGTTTCGGCTAGAGAAGCAGAAGTTAAAAGAAAAATTGTGCAGTTTAAAAATGGCAGCAGTATGTTAGCTCTGTTCACACAGACTCTAGTTTGGAAAATTGAGACCCTAGCTCTAGAGCTCTGATTACTTCACTTGCTGAAGATGTTAAATCCTAGTACTGAAAATCTCAGATACTAGTTTTGAAGGCTCATCTTCTGAAAATTCAGCTGCTGGAAACGCAGCAGGATGTACAGCTAGTGAACAAAGCAGAAGAGACAGAAGGAGCTGTGATAGGTGCCTGAGAAAGTAACTTTTATTACTATTTTATTAAACTTCAATATTGTGTATTTTGGGAAAGCAGTTTTACTGTTTTGGACGCCTCCTGGTACTAATCAAAAAGGTGATTTTTATTTTCTGATTTACTGCACAGGAAAAATTTAGTTGAGACATGTCAAAGTTGTCCATATGGAGCATTTGTCTTTAACTCTGTTTCTCCCTCTTAAAGATAGAATAGGTACGTGTGTGAATTCTAACATGTTTCAGAGACTTTAAAAACTAGAAGACACTCAAAGAGCGCAGAAGGGCAAATGTCACAACTCTGGGTTGCCCTTTGAGTAGCAGGATTATAATGTTTGCTCATGGATTGCATGAGTTCCCAAGGGATATCCTTCACTTTTGGATTTGTTATTCCTCATTTCCCTGGTTAACTAAAAGTGCACACCAAAGTCAGAATCAAAATGTCTGGACTTCTAAGTAGAAATGCTTAATCCAAACCCACAAGCAGACAACAATTTTTGCTAAAGTGCCCAGACCTGCAAGCGGACACACTTAACCTGAACCTGCAGGTGGACAATTAATTTCATCTAACGGTGTCCCGGTAGAGGGCAGAGAACCACTCTTGGTTGTTGTCTTGGGATCCAGGTACTCAAACTTGTGAGCGGAGAACCTAGACCCGGACTCGCAAGCAGACGAAGACTCAGCAAGTAGACTTACCTCTGTCAGAGCCAGAATAGGGAGAAAAAGGAAAACAAGTCCAGGCTGAATTAAGAATGAAAGTGAGCTAATAATGATGAACACAAGTTAATAGCATGAGGTACGCCAGTAACAAAAGTCAGAAGTCATCAGATGCAACAAACGGAGGATCCAAGAGGTACTCCCCCGCACAGTCCCCAAAGGTCCGTAGAAAAAGGAGAGTCCAAATGGCTCAGTGGATCCAAAGCCCATTTTCTCAGCTCTCAGGGGGCTGCCACAGTGTCTGTTGCCTTATTTTTCAGATGAGGAAACTGAGATTGACTTGGTTAAGAATAGACCGGTAGGCTGTAAGGCCAGGACTCAACCCCGTCTTCTGACCATTGTACTGTTCTTTTCTGTTACCCTAAGTTGCACTCAACAGTTTTTTATTGAACGTCTTCCATATGAAGTTTCCTGAATTAAGTGCATTGAGAAATGAATAAGACAACATCTAGCAGGAGAGAAAAGATCCATCTTGTAATGGTAAGACAGACAATAGTTGAGTGCTGGAGGAGGAAGTACATGCATAGTGATGGACCTCCTGTAGGGCGTCAGGGAAAGCTTCATGGAGGAGAGGCATTGGAGCTGATCTTGAAGTCGGATAGGCTTAGAACTTGTGGAGATAAGGGAGGGTGGACCTTCCAGATGGAGGGAATAAACCGAGCAAAAGTTTGGAGGCCAAGAGGAGGCTGTGTGTCTTGGGACATATATGTTTGTGTTTCTGGGAGGAGGAGAAGGATAGATAATCAGAGGAGGCAGCCAAGCCACAGATTTGAGAAGTGGTGGGTTGATGGGTATCTCATCTTATAAATGTGATACAGGTCATCGGGGAGAGGGAGATGAGGCCAGAGAGACTGGGTGAGTGGCTTCCAGTTAACTGAATGAAGAGAGGGCGAACTCTGTTTTCTGTCTCTGGCTGATTTTGTAATAATATGTTTTCACCAGTGAGGGCTGAAGCTCCTGTCGATTGCTGTTTTGTTCCAGTTCCAGGGAATGGGCCTCAGACTGCCGGCTTTCCTTATCTTCGCTGGCCTGGAGCTTTACAATAGGTCGTCTGACCTGTTTCTTCCTCTGCTTTTCCTGTTGCTCCACAGCCTGGTTTTTGTCAAAACTGCCAGGGATTAGAACCTGAAGTCCTGGATCTCTTACATAACTTTTTCCCTTCTTACATCCGCCAGAACCGCTCCTTTTCTATTTTCTTCCCTCTCTCCCCTCATTTTGGTAGCCAGAGTGGTGGCTGTTACTACCTCTGTTATTTTTGCATTTTAGGTAAAGAGATGTGTTGAGAGAGCAGAGGTTTGATTGATTTGCTGGGACTGTTTTTATAAATACTGAATCCTTACTTAGAACTGGGGAAGATGGAGGCGGAGGGCAGCTGGGAGGACTGTGTGAGGCTGTCTGCCTGGGAACCTTCTCTTCTTTGTCTCTGCTGTTAGAAGACTTTATCCTTTCACACCTTTTAGTGCCAGAGTGTGATACTGTGTCTCATTCTGAGGGGGATGTACTGACTCAGCATCTTTACAGACTGCTCTGCTGTCCATTTTTGTTAGCTTCCTAGGTTGCTGCTTGGAGGAGAGAACAAAACAGAGAAGCCCTTCAATCTGTGTGTGTACATATGTGCACACATCAGTGTATCTGTCTGAAAAAAGCTGAATGTATCTTTGAGGAGAGTTGGAATCTCACACATACTCTGAGACACAGGTCTCAGAGTCTGGAGATGAGAAAGAGGTGGGCAAAGGGAGTCTCCCTTCAATCCTTCAGTGAGTGTGTTACTGCCTGTCTGTATTGCTGGGCTGAGCAGAGTCAGAAAGTAGGTTAGCACTGGGGGTGGGTGAGGGTGTGGGTGGAGGGATAGCAGGCAGGGTGGAGACATGGCCCAGTTACATAAATGCAGGGAGATAACATCGAGCATTAAACCTTAGCTCTTGGACACTCCCCACTTCCTGTCGGGGAGAACGGGTGGAATCTGGCTAGAGGTGATATAGGGGCAGGGAAAGATCTTTAGAGGATGCTGTCCTGGGCTGAGAGCAGTGCCGCTGGAAAGGTGGATAGATGGTCCTGATCCTCCACAAGAGCAGAGTAAACACTGTCATGTGTTTGTGTATATCTTTGTTGTTACTTCCAGGATTCTGGATCTGTGCCTCCTTGACTAGGGTTCACGGATCTTCATAAAAAGAGACACACTTCAGAAAAAGGAGATGGTTCTGGGGAGAGTGACAGTAGTTCTTTTTTATGCCTTTTCCTCATGCGTTCTGTTAACTACTGGAGTCTACTAAAATTACCAAAGTTTAAGAGTAACTTTGGGGAGAAGAGTGAAGGAACTTTCTCTATACATCCCCAGTGCCACAAACGCCTCAGGGCTCCCAGGATATATCAGACCCTAAGCAGAATCACAGTATGGTCAGAGCTGGGTTTTCTTAATTCCCTTGGCATACAGAGTTGTGCCAGTGTGTGTGGAAGGGCTATGGAAGGTGGAGGGAATGGGTCTGGCAATACTGAGTGAGAGAGAAGCCCATTCCACCCCTCCCTGAGGCCAGCTCTCTGAGAGTGAAAATCTCTGTGTTGATGCACTTCTCTAACCAACCTTTCTTTCTACTAGATTATCTTTGCTCTGAAATAAACTTTCTGCAGTTTATCAGACCAGTTTAGAGTATGGGACAGGTGCTTAATTCTGTTTTTTTTTTTTTGTGTGTGTGTGTGTGTTATTATTATTTTTTACTTTGTTTTTTATTGTACTTCAGGTGAAGGCTTACAGAACAAATAGTTTCTCATGAAACAGTAGTACACATATTGTTTTATGACACTGGTTAACAACCCCACAACATGTCAACCTTCTAACTTCTCAAGCTTTTTTTTGGTGAAAATACACATAGCCAAAGATACACCATTTCAAAAATTTCTACATGAACAGTTCAGTGACATTGACGACACTCTTCCAATTGTGCTGCTATTCTCACTTAAGATGAAGACTTACAGAACAAAATAGTTTCTCATGTAACAGTTACTACACATGTTGCCCTATGACAATGGTTAACAATCTCACAACACATCAACAATATCCTTACTCAACCTTGGGTTCCCTATCACCAGCTTCCTTGTCCCCTTCTGCCTTCTGGCCCTTGTCACTGGACTCCTGTACCTCGTTTAGTCTCATTTGGTTTTACGGGGCTGTCCAGTCCCAGGCTGAACGGTGAACCTCGGAGATAACTTCACCACTGAGCTAAAAGGGTGTCTGGGGGCACAGGTGCTTAATTCTTAGGTTGTAACCTCTTTGGTTTTAATCAGGTAGGAGCCTTGACTTAAAGCTTTCCCTGGAGAGGAAACGGAAGACGCAATAATTAAGGGACACTGAGCAGGGTTCTGTTAAGGGTGATGTTGAACAACGTGATGAACATAATTAATGTCACTGAACTGTACATGTAAAGACTGTAGAAGTGGCAAATCTTTTATTACCTATATATTTACCACAATAAAAAATGAAATAAAATAATTTTTTTTTTAAAAGCGTTCCCTGGGACATTTAGTTCTAACCAAAGTGAGGCATTCTGTTTAGAATACCCTGGAGTGTAGGGCCCTGTCCTTTTCCCCTCTCCCTATCATGGAGAGAACCCTACATTTGTTACCTTTGCTTGTCTCTGCAGACCTCGTCACTTCTGTCTCCCCTGTCTCCATCTTCCTTACCTCTCTGTTGGCTGGCCTACTGTTGTATGGACTTGTACATGATGAATTGTGAACTTGTAGCTACATGTAGTGCCCTTGGGTACTTGGAGGGAGACACTTACCACAAGGAACCAGATTGCTTAGGTGAGTACCTTATTGAGGAAACAGGTAAAAAAAAAAAAAACTTGCTTCAGTTGAGGTGGTCTGTTGAATTTCTCAAGCCATGGGTATGAAAAGCACATGGGCCTGGGTGGAGCTCCTTGCAGGATTCCATGTAATTGTCTTATTCAATCCCTGAAGAGAGCATAAAGGATTTGATTCGCTACTTGAGGCACGAGGATGAGACTCGAGATGTGCGGCAGCAGCTGGGGGCAACCCAAATCCTGCAGAGTGACCTTCTACCCATCCTTATCCAACACCACCAGGATAAGCCTCTCTTTGATGCTGTTGTCAGGTGGATTCCCCAGCCTTTTATGTTTTCCCATGTGCCAGCCTTTGGTGTTCAAGCTGGCAGGTTTTGGTATTTGTGCTTGGTGAGGAACTATACAACTTTTCCTACCTTCATTACTTCTGCAGGCTGATGGTGAACTTGACACAGCCAGCCTTGCTCTGTTTCGGCAGTGTGCCCAAGGAGCCCAGCTTCCGGCACCATTTTCTGCAGGTGCTAACTTACCTGCAGGCCTACAAAGAGGTGAGGCTTTCCTTCAGAGACCCTGGGGCAGAGTTTCAGGGGAGTAGGAGAGGAGTGAGCAGGCGCTACTTAAGGCCCATTCCCCTATTTTGTAGGCCTTTGCCAGTGAGAAGGCTTTTGGAGTCCTCAGTGAAACCCTGTATGAGCTGCTTCAGCTGGTGAGTCAGTCTCCACCTTAGAGAATCCACAGGCCAGCTGGCACCTTGCATCTCCTCCGAGCAGAGCCCCAGACTGGGCATTGTAAGGAGATGCTGAGTTTGGAGATGTGATTCTAGTCTTTGGGGATATGGTAGTCCAATCTATAGCCTCTATCTGCCTCAGGACTGCTTGAATTCCTCCTCTTCTTGCTTCTTAATGCTGATTCTCCTCTGTGCCCCAGCCCTCCAGCCATGGTAGATGCCACCTGCCTTCCGCAGGGAGTCTCTTCCTCTTAATCTTCTTCTTGTCACCAGGGCTGGGAGGAACGGCAGGAAGAGGACAACTTGCTGATTGAACGGATCTTGCTGCTGGTCAGAAATATTCTCCATGTCCCAGCTGACCCTGATCAGGAGAAGGTGAGAGCCTTGGGTAGTCTGAATTATGTGCTGGTTGGGTTTAGGTGCCCTTTTTAGGCTTCTCTGTCTTCTGACAAGGCTGGGGGAAGAACCTTGGTCATGGAACGAATGAGTTGGAGATCATCAAGGCAGGGCAGTAGAACTGAATGACCTCCCTTTCTCCCCTCACCACTCACTGCTCAGAGTATCGATGATGATGCCAGTGTCCATGACCAACTTCTCTGGGCGATTCACCTCAGTGGCCTGGACGACCTGCTCCTCTTCCTGGCCAGCTCACCCGCTGAGCAGCAGTGGAGCCTACATGTGCTAGAGATTATCTCCCTTATGTTCCGTGACCAGGTGAGACCCTGTCTCCTCCATCCATGTACTTTCCTGCTCTGTGGCCAGAATTGTTCTTGTAACAACAGCTGGATTATCTCAGGTATCTACAGGTATAGCAGCCATGTCATGAGTATGGGTTCTCATCAATGGTCCTGTTTTGTTCACTCTTTCCATCTGCAGTAGAAGTGAACTGAGGATAATGAATGATCGTCCTTTTGACTCTTCACTCCTTTTTGCAAATCTAGAACCCTGCGCAGCTGGCAGGAGTAGGGCAGGGACGCGTAGCTCAGGAGCGGAGCACAGATGTGGCAGAACTAGAGGTGTTGCGCCACCGAGAGATGGCAGAAAAGAAGACTCGAGCCCTCCAGCGAAGCAACAGGTGAGTGGCAGAGAGCTGCTCTACTCATGTTCCCATTCCTGCATTTGGGATGCTGAGAGCCTTGGGCCAAATTCTTGAAGACAATGTGACTGGATAAAAACCAGAAAAACCGTTGGTGTCAAGTCGATTCTGACTCATAGCGACTCTATAGGTCAGAGCGGGACTGCTGCATAGGGTTTCCAACGAGCAGTTGGTGGATTTGAACTGCCCACCGTTTGGTTAGCAGCCGAGCTCTTAACCACTGTGCCACCAAGGCTCTGTGACTTGACAACGTTTTACAATTATAACATGCTCCGATGTGCTAATGAAAGAGAATGGGAATGAATCTTCCAGAGAATTAAGGAATCACCCTGAACTTTTTTTTTCTACAGGCATTCTCGATTTGGGGGCTCCTACATTGTCCAGGGGCTGAAATCCATTGGGGAGAGGGATGTCATCTTTCACAAAGGTCTTCACAATGTGAGTCTGCTCACACCTGGGGTGGGAACATTGTGGAGTTTAGGGCCTAAGAAGGGTAAGCTTCTCTGAAGTTAAAGCTTCCGTGTACTTGGGTATAGAAAGTTGGAGGCAGTAAGAGAAATAATGCCTTTGGCATTACATGTACTAAAGCTTAGCACCAAAGGGAGAGAACCTTCTAAGAGTTTCTTCTGAGAAAACTGTAGCACCAGAAATCTAGAAAGAGCTGCAGGGGGAGGGTGGTGGCTAGGAGTAATTCTAATTCCCCATTACTCACCCTCAGCTCCAAAACTACAGTTCAGATATGGGAAAGCAGCGGCGAAGGGTACCTAAATGTCGCCAGGCTGCCCGGGAGCTGTCCTCTGAGCGCCGCTCTGCCCTCAATGTGCGACTCTTCCTCAGAGACTTCTGCTCTGAGCTCCTGGAGAACTGTTATAACCGGCTCATGGGCTCAGTGAAGGTGAGAGCCTCGGACGGGTACAGGATGTGTGGAGAGGTGAACAGGGAGGCAGTGGCATCAATGGTGGGTAAGAGGGGCAGCCTAGGAGGAGCTCATGGGAGGCTGACCCTGGCATGTGGACTAGTAGGTGGGAAGGGTTTAGGGGCCCCTGAGAAATGGTGAAGATGTCAGGAGGGAATGTGTTATTGGCATGACGAAAAAGGCTCTGGAGAAATTGCCCAAGGGGAAGAGGAAGGAAATAACGGAGAGACCTGAGAAGACTCGAGAGCTGGACATTGTGAATCCTAGAGCATTACCATGGTGTCCAGGGTCCACCCCACCATCACAGGACAGGAAGAAGTTAAAAGCTCTGAGGTCATGAGATGGCCTTTTTTCTCTGGACTTTAGGATTACCTACTTCGGGAGAAAGCTCAGCAGCATGATGAGACCTACTACATGTGGGCCTTGGCTTTCTTCATGGCCTTTAACCGAGCTGCTGCCTTCCGGCCAGGCCTAGTTTCTGAGACCCTCAGCGTCCGTACCTTCCACTTCATAGAGCAGAACCTCACCAACTACTATGAAATGATGCTGACCGACCGCAAGGAAGCCGTCTCCTGGGCACGCAGGTGAGTGGGATGAGTTTTAGGGTCAGAGTGGGGATCTTGGCCAGACTCTGAGTGCCTGAGTTCTGGATATGTTATCCCTGTTTCAGGGTTGAAGTGATTAAGCTGGGGAGGCAAGGACTGGGTGGGTCATTCTGTTTTCGGTGGAATAGATTTTTAGGGGGGTGCTGTTTCCATGAGCCAGTGCCCTAAGTTATCTTCCATTTCACCCCTTTCCCAGGATGCATCTGGCTCTGAAGGCCTATCAGGAGCTGCTAGCCACACTGAATGAGATGGACATGTCCTCAGATGAGGCTGTGAGGGAGAGCAGCCGCATCATCAAGAGTGAGACCTGACTTGGTCCCTGTCCCTAGCCTTCCCCATCTCTTGACCAGAATCTCTTCTCAACTTCGTCCATCTCTCCTCCTCCCAAGCTTTCCAGACCAGTCCCTTCATTTCTTTCTCTTCCCCTTTCCTAGACAACATTTTCTATGTGATGGAGTACCGAGAACTATTCCTGGCACTCTTCCGAAAGTTTGATGAGAGATGCCAGCCCCGCTCCTTCCTTCGTGACCTGGTGGAAACAACCCACCTCTTCCTCAAGATGTTGGAGCGATTTTGTCGGAGTCGCAGGAACCTGGTGGTGCAGGTAATGGGCAACCCCAGGATGTGGAAAGAGCTGTAGGGGAGGATAAAGGACAGGGGACTCTTTCTCCTCACATTTTCTGCAGCTTAAGCTCATCTGTTAGGATTACTCTACACTAAGAGAGCAAAAAGGTTTGTGTTGCCGATGCAAGTCTACCATAGTTTCATTCTCACATTAACTTAACCCCTAATATACCATAAGTATCTTAATTCATTCAGCAAACATTAATTGAATACCTACTATGTGCCAAGCACATAGACCCTGGGGATTCATAATTTTAGAGTTTAATAATTATGCTGTAATATTTCACAGTTACACATCAGCAGCATTGTAGTGAGACGGAAAGAGCCTTAAGGTCAGAAGGTCTGGGATCTAGTCCCATATTATTAGTCACTGCTCACATCAGTCTCCAGATCCCTAAAATTGGAATTATAATATCTCTCCTATTAAAGGATGTACCACGAGCCTAAAATGAAATAATAGATGAAAAGTATGGGACAAGACGAAAACTTCAAGGAATTTATATCCTGGAGACACAGGGACTTTGCTTTGTTAAAAAAAGAAAAAAGGTTTTACACCAGAACCTTCCTATAATTCTACTACAAAGCTTAAAAATTCTATCAGAACTGGACCTGAAAGAGACAGTGGTACTAAATGAGTCTTTGCTAAAAGGTATATTTTTACACTCAAGGCTCTATTGTGTTATCAATAATAGTAAAACAAAACAAAAAACCATTGTTGTCAAGTCACTTCCGACTCACAGCGACCGTATGAGATGGAGTAGAACTGCCCCGTAGGGTTTCCGAGGCTGTAATCTTTACGGAGCCAGACTGCCACACCTTCCCACTGCACCACCAGGCTCCTTATCAGTAATAATAGGTGCTATCATTTATTGAGTGTTTACTGTGTGTCAGACACTGTGCTGAGGTTTTCATGTAATTCCTGTGACAGCCCTAGGAAATTTGCACAGGGAGGTTAAGTAACTTGTTCAAGGTCTTTCTAGTAAGTGGTTGAGTCAGACCCCAACTCCAGATCTGCTTGGATTCCAAAGCTTATGCCCTTAACCTCCCGTGTGTCTGATTGTAAGTTACTTGAAGAGAGCATGCGTTTTCTTTACTGTGGACCCCAAGGGCCTCCCAGTCCATCTTATTTGCCTTTTGAGGACCCACACCAAAAACTGGTTCACAGCCGTGACTTGAGGGGAGGCAGGATTTGGGTATTGACTCTCACTCTCTTGCTTTTTAACAGAAATAATTATAGGTTAAATTTACATAGTGCTTCACATTTTTCAAAGCCTTTTCGTGTAGAGTTTCTTATATTCGATCCTTATAGCTAATCTGTTTACAGGCTTCTGTTTAAGATATCACTGCTTTTAGGAAACCTTCTCTGGTGAGGTTCCTGTGTTTTGATATGACATCTTATTATAGCCCTTATCCACACTGTAATGTCATTACCTATTTATTGATCTGTCTAGTTAATTTATTTTGTAATAGGGCCTCTTGGCCCTCCTGCCATCTTTACATGGTTCTTTCCCCGTAGAACAAACGAAAGAAGAGGAAGAAGAAGAAGAAGGTCCTAGACCAGCCTGTTGCTTCTGATAATGTCCCATGTAGCCCAGAGGAATTGGAGGCCATGTGGCCAGCACTGACTGAGCAACTACAGTGCTGTGCCCAGGTAGGTGGTTGCAGAAGCCCTGTCTTTCTTGAGGGTAGTGCTCTGGGTAGGCTGTCTGGGTTTCCCTCCTCTCTGCTCCCATAGCCTTATCCTTCTGTAGGCTCCTGAGCTCAGTTTGGACTCCGTTGTTCCCTTTGACGCGGCCTCAGAGGTGCCAGTGGAAGAGCAGCGGGCAGAAGCCATGGTGCGGATCCAAGACTGTCTCCTGGCTGGCCAGGCCCCACAGGCCCTGAGCCTCCTGAGGTCTGCCCGGTAAGAACCCTGCCACACCCTCCTAGACCCAGGTCCTGGGCTTTTGGGGTAGGGAAGCTCTCGCTGTGGTACAGGGTTCTCAGTTTTCAAAAGAGAGATGTTCCATCAGAATCCTGGGGCTCAATACTGAGCAGTGGGTCCTGGGGAGTTTTTCTTGGTTTGTTGGTTGTTGTTTTTGATAACAACCAGAAAGCACAGTTAATCAGGAAAAAAAAAAAGATAACCATTATTAACATTTTGATGAGTAACCTTCCAGAGTGTTTTCCCCCCTTTGTGTTGTATATAGATACATATATACTTTCTTTTATGAAAATGAAATATTGCACATGCTGATTTATTTTTCACTTCTCAATATATTGTGAGCACCATTTCTCATCAGGTATGTTTCTATAAGAGAGTTGTTAACGGCTGTAAAATACCATTGTGTGAATTTGTACATTTGCTTAATCAAGCGTCAGGCATTTAGATTGTTCGCATTTTGTTCTTCTGTGATTTTCATGGCCGTGTGGCGTATAAGGAAAATTTTTCCTCGAGTTTTTGTTTCATCTTTGGGGTAGCAATTTGCATTCTCTTTCTGGCTGACAAATGAAATAAGTCTAAATTACTTCTCCCAGGTCAAATTATACCTCAGATTCCCTCTGGCTAAAGCCTTTTTTCTCTCCGTGCCCCAGGGAGGTGTGGCCAGAAGGAGATGTGTTTGGCTGTCAAGACATTTCCCCAGAGGAAGAGATCCAGCTGCTGAAACAAATCCTCTCTGCCCCACTTCCCCGTGAGTTTCCATTCCCTTCACACCTGTTTCCTTCCAGCTCTTCTCTAGCATACTGGAGATCCAATCGTCCCCACTTTTTCTACAGGACAGCAGGAGCCAGAGGAACAAGGGGCAGAGGAGGAAGAGGAAGAAGAAGAGGAAGAGGAGGAGTTGCAAGTGGTCCAGGTGTCGGAGAAAGAATTCAGTTTTCTGGACTACCTGAGACGGTGCGTGCCGAGAGGACTCAGTTGGTCCCGGGGTGGTGACTGGAGCCCTGAAGACAAGCAGTGTCTTTCTTGTGCTGACATCCTCTCCCTCCCTGTGTTGTCACAGCTTTGCATGCTCAACCGTGGTCCGAGCCTACGTGCTGCTGCTGCGGAGCTACAAGCAGAATAGTGCCCACACTAACCATTGTGTTGTCAAGATGCTGCATCGGCTGGCCCATGACCTCAAAATGGAAGCCCTGCTTTTCCAGCTCTCACTCTTCTGCCTCTTCAATCGTCTGCTTAGTGACCCTGCCGCTGGGGCCTACAAAGTGAGGGAATACCACGGAATGGGTGTCTGGAGGAATATGAGAGTCCTGGGGTGGTAAAAGGATAGTCTTCAGGAGAGAAAGGATGCTGAGGGGTGTCAAGGGCTGGGAGATGAGAGAGCTGTGAGGGAACTGCATGGGGAAGGATCTAAGAGAGAGTGTGAGTGAGGAGGGGGAGCTGGGAACAGATGTAGAGAAAATATCTATAGGACCAGGTTTATGTATACATTTGGTCCAGAGGCCTCAAAACAGCCTCCCTCTCCTACAGGAGCTAGTGACTTTTGCCAAGTACATTTTGGCCAAGTTCTTTGCATTGACTGCAGTCAACCCAAAAGCCTTCGTGGAGCTGCTGTTCTGGAAGAACACAGCTGTGGTTCGAGAGATGACCGAGGGCTATGGCTCCCTGGATGGCGGGTAAGCTTGAGTCTGGGGAAAGATGGGCAGTAAGGGTGGACATAGTCACGGGCTATCAAAGCTGGAAGAGCTTGCAGATCATCTGGTCCAACCTTTCCTTCCGTCTCATAGGTGAGGAAACAGGCCCAGGTGAAATGCTTTACCTAAGGTCATTCAAGAGAAGAATAAGGGCTGGAGCCTAAGTCTTCTGGCTAATTTCCTCCTGCTTCACTAGCATCACCAGCGAAGGGTTTATTCTGCCAGCCTCTTTCATGAGGTGGTCACTGTTGGGAGTGCGCTGGCCCCCAGAGAGAATCCGTATGTGCTGTGTCCCAAAACATGCTGGGAAACCATAAGGATTCACAGAAATGTTTATCTCTTTCCCATGGAATCTCAGCTCCTCTCCTTTCTTTTCCCCATAATGCCCTCAGTCCCTGCAGTGTGAGGTTCCATAGGCCCAACCTGGAAAATCTCTTAGTTTGAATTTTGGGTTCTTAAGTGGGAGGAGAGTGAGAGGAAAGAAGCACGCCGTCGACCTCTGCTAACTCACTCCTTTGAGTTACCTGCATCGCCCTTCGTGCTATTCCTCTAGTCTTGGTGACTTTTTCCTTCCAGAACTGAGTAGAGAGGGCCTTTGGTTTCCTCCTTTTGGGCCAGAAACCTACATGTTTCCCTTTGACCCTTCTGTCATTAAGGTCTTCCAGTCGCAAACCCACTATGTGGAGTCCAGAGGAGGAGGCCCAGCTTCGGGAACTGTACCTCGCCCATAAGGATGTGGAAGGTAGGAGGCGTGGAGATCTGAAGAGCTTATAAGGAAAGCAGCCTGAGCTCTAGGGCCCCTCTTTACTGCCTCACTCCTTCTCCAACCCAGGTCAGGATGTGGTAGACGCCATCTTGGCACACTTGCCTACTGCTCCTCGAACACGCAAGCAGATCATCCACCATCTGGTTCGGCTGGGACTGGCTGACAGTGTCAAGGACTTCCAAAGGTAGAGGACATACTCTGGAGGAAATTGGGATGGGGAGTCCTCTTTTCACTCCCTGAGCCCCATCTTCTACTATTCACCTCCCTGAACAGGAAAGGAACCGATATTGTGCTATGGACAGAAGATCAGGAGCTGGAGTTGCAACGGCTTTTTGAGGAGTTCCAGGATTCAGATGGTAAGTGACGTAGAAGTTCATGGAACCTCTGAGTTGAGAGCTAAGCTGTCCATTTTTCTCCCTCCTGCCTCCTGTTTTCAAGGAAGGCTTATCCCATTTTTCCTGTCCATTTACTATATATGAGGTGTCATTTTTGGGTGAATTGAGCTAGATTCTTTCCAAAGACCTCTGATTTTCTTTACTAATCCCTTTCCCATATTGCTGTTGGGAAGTCACACTTTTCTTCTCTATAGATGTCCTGGGTCATATAATGAAGAACATCACAGCCAAACGCTCACGGGCCCGAATAGTGGATAAGCTGATGGCCCTGGGGCTGGTGACTGAGCGGCGGGAGCTGTATAAGAAACGCCGGAAGAAGTTGGCACCCTCCAGCTTGGTAACAATCTCATCCTTGCTCTGCCTACATGGGCCACTGCCCCTGAAGTGCTCCTCAGAAGTAACTCACGCAGATTCTCCCTATCTCAGGCTGTTCTGGTAGCCTTGCCGAGTGGTTAGGTTCTCCCAGTGGGGTGGACAGAAACCAGAGGACTCCACTTAGTTCCTCATCTTGCCTCCTTTTTTCATTTCCCACTCCAATGAATTTTAGCCCAGTGGAGAGGAGTCTCTGAAAGATTTTTGCCAGGAAGATATCAAAGAAGAGGAGAGCCTGTCAGAGGAAAATTGTGAAGATGAGGAAGAAGAGGGCTTGGGAGTAGATCAAGCCCAGGGTAGCTCAGTCCTCCCAACTGAAGACCTTGGGCAAAACCTGCTTCAGGAAGGTGACGGCTTGGGTCGGGAGAGATGTCTCAGATGGAGGCATTGGGAGAAGGGGCCAAATGTAAGTTTTCCTCCTTCCCTTAGGCTTTTCTGCTCCCCTCCTATGGCTCCAGAACTGCCTGATTCGAGTAGCAGATGATCGGGAAGAGGACAGTAAGTGGACAGAATGATGGTTTTAGGAGGGCTGGGGCACTGGCGGCTGTTGGCAAACTGGTCGTGGAATGGAGGACTAGTTCCATGACTATTGACCCTGTCCCAGGCTGCTCCCAGTCAGTTCCCTTGGTGCCATTGACAGAAGAAAATGAGGAAGCAATGGAAAATGAACAGTTTCAGCAGCTGTTGCGCAAGCTAGGGGTTCGGCCCCCTGCCTCTGGGCAGGTAAGCACACCACTTACATTGCCAAGCAGGTAGTCATTAAGGCATGTTGGTTCTACCTCCAAAATGCATTCCTTCCTCCTCATGAGTGCATTTGCCTTGTCATATCTTTTTTTTTTAAATGACTGCCGTTATTGAGTGCCTTCTATGTTGTAGACCTTTTACATTAATTTTTTATATTATTATTGTACTTTAGATGAAGTTTTACAGGACAAACTAGCTTCTCATTAAACAATTAGTACCCATATTGTTTTGTGACATTGGTTACCAACTCCACGGCATGTCAACGTTCTCTCTTCTCAACCTTGGGTTCCCTATTACCAGCTTTCCTGCCCCCTCCTGATTTCTAGTCCTTGCCCCTGGGCTGGTGTGCCCCTTTGGTCTCGTATTGTTTTATGGGCCTGTCTAATCTTTGGCTGCAGGGTGAATGTCAGGAGTGCTTTGTCATTTTTGACCAAGATTCCTGCAGCAGCTAATCTTCCTCTCTCCAGGCTTTTCTTTCTTTTTGTCCATCTTCCATGCTGCCCCAGAGTTATGCTTCTAAAATATTGTTCTGACTATGTCACTCCCCTGTCTAGAGCACTTGATGTTTCCCCACTGCTTGTAGGACAGAGTCCAGAGTGGCATGCTGGGCCTTGGCCCATGGGCCTTTGCAGCCTTGCGACGCCACCCACATATCTACTTTACACCATAGCCATCCTATATTACTTCCGATCTTCCAAAAGCAGACCTTTTTATGCCTCCAAGTGGTTGATCATGCTGCCTCTTCTACTGGAAGGCTCTGTATACACACACACATACACATACCTGTCTTTCTGATGAACCCAACCTTTAAGACTCAGCTCAGTTGAGGTAGAAGACTACCTCTTCTGAGTAGCAGTTCCTGTAACCCTTTAACCCTTTAAGCAAAAATAATCACTTTGGCAGCTGGGACTTGTTCATTCCCTTGATATATCCCCAATTGTATGGTGTTACAGCACATCTGTTCTTTCTCCTATTAAATCGTGGGTTCCTTGAGAGCAAGGATCATGTCTTATTCACCTTTCAGTCCCTAGGATGCATTCATTTGTTCATTCAATTAACAACTATATTTACTAGGAACCTCTTAATATAGCAGACATTGTGCTGTACATTAGGTATATATTAGATAAGTGAGCAATAAGAGAAATTCACAGCCCTCGTAGATCTTCACCACCAATGTAGGGTCATATTTATTCAGTGAATGCTATCAAAATCTGGCAAACTAGACAGTGATCCTTTCCCGTTGCTGTTATTTTCACCTTCTTTGCCCCTGTAGGAAACCTTCTGGCGAATTCCAGCCAAGCTAAGTCCCACTTATCTCCGGAGAGTAGCAGCGTCTTTGAGTCAACGAAGGGAGGAGGAAAAGCTGCACCCAGAGCTAGAACTTGAAGCCCCTGGAGAGCAAGGGCCTGATGAGGAGCACCGAGCACAAGCACTGAGGGCCCTCCTGTTAGCCCGTAAAAAGAAAGCAGGCCTGGCGTCCCCGGGAGGTAAGAGCAGGACTGCTCGTCTGTTGAGTACTTACTATGTGCCGACCATGTTGGTCTACAGGGCTGATAGGGTATTTTCAGGAAGTGAGTGCCCAGTTCCCTAATTTTATACCTCTTATGGCCATTTCAGAGGAAGGGGCTACTGATGGGAAAGAGCAGCTGAAGGCAGCACCCAAGAAGCGACAGCTGCTGGACAGTGATGAGGAACAGGAGGAAGATGAGGGCAGGAACAAAGGTCGGCATTCTGATTGGGACCTACTTTTGTCTTCGTCTCTCTATCACTCTTTTGTTAAATCCTGGAGACAAACTCCACCACCCTCCTTCCCCCTCAATGTATTTAGATATTCTTTCTCTCTCCCCTGTCATTCCTATAGCACCAGAGTTGGGAGCTTCAGGAATCCAAAAGAAGAAACGGTTTCACATTGAGGATGAAGATGAGAGCGACTGAAGATCCAGAGCCTAGGGGTAGAGACAGGCTGGTTTATAGATGATGAATTTAAGTCAGAGTTGGGAGGGTCATATAGGAGCCAAGAACACTCTTACTGGACCGAAGCAATAGATTTAGGGCCCAGGAGTTTCAGGCAACAGGGTTGGACTTCTCTGCACCCATCTTTTGTTTCTCGCAGTTTTATCGATATGCCCTGGAAACTTACTCTTCTTATCTCTCTATACTGGTGACTGTGAGAGCCCCTTAGCTAATGAGTGAGTGAGTGAAATATAGAGGGTACCCTGGACCCCCTAATTGGCCCGTTCCTTTTGGCTTTCTGCTGGAGGTGGGTCACAGCACCAGACAGGAACTTTATGACTTCATGATAGGTGGGGATTTTGCACCATTTTTAAGAGGCAATAAATGCCCCCATACTCATTTCCTTCCTACGATCACCTCCTAGACCCCAGATTTAGGCCAGTTCCTACAGTTGATGTAGGATTGGAATGTAGTAATCTCCAGCTGATGAATGTGTTTGTGGTTTGCGTTGAATTAAACAAGTAAAATTAAAAGTAGCCACCCTTGGTCTGGCTTGCCAATCTGTCCAAGTCCCCCAGCCCTCCACCTGCTGTGCTCTTGGAAGAAGAACTGTACTTAGAGTTAAAAGAGATTATCAGCCCTCCCTTTTCTTACGCCTTCCTTCATAGAATACACAAAAACTCACCTCAAGATCCTTTGTCTAGGATAAATCTTTAGGGTAACCATATTATGCAACAGGAAGAAGCCCCTGGTAACCACTAATAAACCTCTGTCTCTATGCATTGGCCTATTCTGGATATTTCATATAAGTGGGATTATAACAATATTTATCCTTTTGTGTCTGACTTATATCACTCAGCATAATGTTTTCAACGTTCATCCATGTCGTAGCAAGTATCAGAACTTCATTTCTCTTGAAGGCTGAATATTCCATTGTGTACATATATACATTGTACATATATACCGCATTTTGTCCATTCATCTGTTGATGGACACTTGGGTTATTTCTACCTTTTGGCCATTATGAATAACGCTGCAATGAACACTGGTGTACAAGTATCTGAGTTCTTGCTTTCAGGTTTTTTGGGTATATACTTAGAAGTGGAATTACCAAATTCTATGCTTAACTTTTTTTTTCTTTCTCATGTAAAATGTTTCTCATGGCACTTTTGCTTATTAACTTCTTTAGTTGAATTTTTCTGACATAAATCCAAAACCAAACCCATTGCCATTGAGTTGGTTCCAACTCATCATGACCCTATATGACAGAGTAGAACTACCCCATAGGGTTTCCAAGGCTATAATCTTTATGGAAGCAGACTGCACATCTTTCTCCCATGGAGCAGCTGGTGGGTTCAAATCGCCAACTTTTCAGTTAGCAGCTGAGTGCTTAACCACTGCGTCATCAGTGGTTAACTTTTTGAGGAACCACGAAACTGTTTTCCACAGCAGCTGTACCATTTTACATCCCACCAGCAGTATATGAGGATTCCATTTTCTCCACATCCTCGCCAACACTTGTTATTTGGTGTATGATGTTAGCTGTGGGTTTTCCGTAGATGCCATTTATTGTGTTGGGGAAGTTCAGTTCTATTCCTAGCATTGTTTTTATCATGAACGGGTGTTGGATTTTGTCAAATGCTTTTTCTGTGTCAATTAGGATGATCGTGTGGTTGGTTTGTTTTTTCCTTCATTCTGTTAACATGGTGTAGTACATTGATTGATTTTCATTTGTTGAACCTCTCTTGCATTCCTGGGATAAATCCCACTTGGTCATGGTGTACAGTCCTTTTAATATGCTGCTGGATTCCTTTGGCTATTGTATTGAGGATTTTTATGTCTATTTTCATAAGGGATATTGGACTACAGTTTACTTGTGGCATCTTTGTCTGGCTTTGGAATCAGTATAATGCTGGTCTCACAGAATGAGTTAGGAAAGGTTCCCTAGTTGTCTTTTTTTTTTAAGAGTTTGAAAAGGCATGGTGTTAATTCTTCTTTAAACACTGCGAGAATTCATCAGTGAAGCCACCTTATCCTGTGCTTTTCTTTGTTGGAAATTTTTGACTATTAATTTGATCTTTTTATTTGTTATAATTCTATTCATATTTTCTATTCTTGAGTCAGTTTGGGCAATTTGTATCTTTCTAGAAATTTGTCCATCTCATCTAGGTTACCTAATTTATTGGAGTACAGTTATTTAGACTATTCCCTTATAATCCTTTTTATTTCTTAAGGTCGATAGTAATGTCCCCACTTTCACTCCTGATTTTAGTAATTTGAGCCTTCTCTTTTTCTTGATCAGTCTAGTTAAAGGTTTGTCAGTTTTGTTGATCTTTTCAAAGAACCAATGTCTAGTTTCATTGCTTTTCTTAATTGTTTTTCTATTCTCTGTTTATCTTCACTTTAATATTTATTATTCTCTTCCTTCTGCTTGCTTCGAGTTTAGTTTGCTCTTTTTTAGTTCCTTAAGGTAGAAGGTTCCATGTGTGTTTGAGAAGAATATGTATTCTGCTATTGTTGAATGGAGTGTTTTATATGTCTATTAGGTCTAGCTGGTTTATAGTGTTCTTCAAGTCTTCTATTTCCCTGTTGATCTTCTGTCTAGTTGTCCTGTCCATTATTGAAAGTGGAATATTGAATCATCAACTCTGATTGTTGAAATGTCTATTTCTCCATTCCGTTCTGTCGGTTTTTGCTTCATATATTTTGGTGCCGTGTTGGACGGTGTATATGTTTATAATTGTAATACCTTGATGATTGACCCTTTTATCATTACATAATGTCTTTCTTTGTTTCCCATAACCGTTTGTCTTAAAGTCTATTTTGCCCGATAGTAGTAGAGGCACTCCAGCTCTCTTTTGGTTACTGTTTGCATGGACTGTCTTTTTTCATCTGTTCACTTTTAACCTATTTGTGTCTTTGAATCTATAGTGACTCTTTTGTAGACACATATTGCTGGATCAGAGATTTCCTTAAACCCCTGGAACCAAAAACAAAACAAAAACTCCCAGTCTTTGCAGATGAGTTCTGTGTGTGTGTTGGGGCACACCTTCAACACTCAGTCAGGCAGTTTACAACTCTACCTTAACCTTCACTTCCTCCTTGCACAGAGCCTGAAGATCAGCAAGAGGTGAGAGCTAGGGCCTCCTCAGCTCTTTTCTGAGCCTGAGCTCAGCCCTGGCATGCGTGTGGCCTTCTAGATTCCCAGGAATATATGGGAGCTTTTCAAATCCCTTATTCCCCAGCCTTTTCTTCAAGACTTTTCAGTTAATTGTTTGCCCCCGTTGTTATCCCTCACGCCAGGTGGTAGTGGCTAATACGTTTGCCTTTAAACGTTTTCAATAAATGCTCCCCGCCCCAGCTGCTTAGGCAAAATAAAGGCAAGTCCTTTTAGCTGGTCCTTCAGGGAACCACCAGACAGTTGAAAACAACCAACCTCAGTTCTTTCATAATAGGGTGTGTTTGCTCCCTCTAGTACTAGGTACAAACCAGGGATGCAGGCTGTTGTTTTCAGGGCCACCGCCAGGTTGGGGAGCAGAGAGAATGGTACCAGAGTAATTTAAAATATTACAGAACTCTTACCAAGATTTATCTCTTTCTTGAGTAAGTGTTCCCCTGGTTTCTATAAGCTTTTGATTAGATTCTGAGCTCCAAAAAAGTTGATTTGGACTTTTTTGCCAGCTTATCCATTACTTTTGTGGAGGGACAGATTTTGGAGTTCCCTGCTCTGTCATCTTCACAGGTAACGTGTTTTGATTTTTGCTTTTATCTTATCTCTTTTACTATTTTCTCTAACTTCAGGTTTAATTTATTATTTTCTTTTGCTTCTAAAGGTGTAAGCTTCTATCAGGTTGGCAAGCTTTTTATGTAAAGGACTAGATAGTAAATATTTTAAGTTTTGTGGGCCAAGAGGAAAAATTGAGGATATTATGTGGGCAGAGGCCTATCTGGGAGGGGGGTTGGGTAGTGGCAGGCAGGTAGGGTGCGTGCCCTGTGCGCCACTTGAGGTGGGGCACCAATGAACAATTTCTATTGGCCATCACAATTTCCATCGCCCGCTGTGAGAGATTATTCAGCAATTTAACACTAATTGCCCTAGGCGCTATTTTCCATAGATAGGCCCCTGTTTGTAGGTACTTACATAACAAGAAAATAAATTTCCGCAAATTGTTTACTGAATATCAAAATATAACAATAATTGAGTACAGTTTTTTGTAATGCGTGTCTACTAATGTGAGAAGAATGGCATTCTTTTCCTTTAGGGTACAAAGTTAGTATTCCCTATCAACCAAGTTTATAACAAATACTTACCTGTTAATGCTGATTTGTAACGAGATTTTACAATTTCATCCTTGAGAATATCTTTTCACATACAGATAGTTATCTGCCAAATGCTGGTATCAGGCCACTTGCTTCTGATTTTAACTGAGCATATTCATCACTTGGGAGGCATTTGTAGAATTCTGTTAGAATCTTCTCTTGCTATTTTCTTTAACATGTCAATACATCACAGATTAATCACTTCCGTATTAATCACTTCCGTTTGAAGGCTAGGGAAGCCTCAATTACACAGTTAAGTGGATTTTGAAATACGGAAATTTCCTTTGCACTTGCATTGAGGTCTGAAAAATGTTCCTGAAACTGTAGTTTGAGCTCAGAAAACATATCCACTGCAAGTTTGTATAGGAATGGAGATCTTGCTTCTTGTTTTAACTTTTGACAGCACAGGAAGTGTTTAAAATAGCTTGAAATTACCTGTAATTACAAACAGAATTAGTTTTTGAAATGACTTTTACACAGTGTAAGTTTTCTATGTAAGCTCTATTTTGCCTTGTAATTTTAGGTTGAATTCATTAAGAAACCTTATCAAGTCTGCAGCAAAAGCTAATTTCTAGAGCCATGTAGTGTTCAGTAATAATGGTCGAGGGCAGTTCTTCTACAGAAAAAGTTCAGTTTTGACCCTGAGCTCAAAAAACTGCAGTCAGACTTTATCACTACTAAGTCATCAAACTGCTGGGCGGTAGTGCAAGTCAGGATATCCAGCTTTTATTTTTGACAAAATTCATTGAACTGACAATGGGTAAGTCCATCAGGGCAAATGAAGTTCGCTGCTAACGCTACTGGTTCAATAACAAATGACAGATTCAAACATTTTTTGCAAAGTATCTGCTTATAAATAATACAACGAGTGGATAGAGGTGGAATCATGACACAGTGTGAAGTATGTAACCAATGTCATTGAGCCTACATGTAGAAACTGTGAATGGATGTATGTTTGGTTGTGTATGTTGCCACCAAAAATAAATGAAAAATAATAATGAATAATCATAGGCTTTAAACACCTTCCACAAACTTAGTAAATTTGTCCAACTAAGCTGTATTCTGTGCCATACATACTTTTCCCATCATCTGTTGTAATACATGTTAATATATTCTGCTTCACGTTGTGTTGAATTAGTGTTTACTCAACGCCTATGAAAATATTCTGTAGTTGTTCAACGCAAACTATTCATAGCGGCTAAGTCTTCAGTCACTTCATACTTGCCATCGACTCCTTGAATAAACAGCTGAGCAGTATTGATAGCATCTATCCACTCATCAAGAGACAAGGAAAATCATTCAAAATCATTTGCCTTGTTTTTTAATTGGCTACTGATGCCGCTTCTAATCAACTTTTTGAGCGGCTCTTCTTACCAAAAGGCTAAGAATTTTAATAAGTTTATTTTC